TGTCCAGAAGAGAAGAATGGATGAGTAATTGACTTTGCGCAGGCTTGAGAAAAGGCCTGGCAAGATGTCAAGAAGAGAAACGGGTGAGAAATTGATGTTGCATGAGTGGCAAGCGACTTGTGTGATTGATTGGGCATAAGCTTGAAAATGGGCCGAGCAAGACGTCTGGAAAAGAAAAAGACTCGTATGATGGACTATGTATGGATCTGAGAGAAAGATTGGCAGGAAACAGATGAGCATTTGGGTTGCATGAGTCTGAGAAAAAGGTCTGACAAGGTGTCTGAAAGAGAGATGCACAAGGGATGAAGTGGGCAACATGCATGAAAAAGTTAAAAATAAGTAAAAAACAAGAAAGGACAAAGAGTGATATGAATGCAAAATTGGCAGGACTTGAAGAAAGTCGGGCGAAAGGACCCGGGGGAGATGCATGTGGATTTAGCAAGGCCTGAGCGTCGGGGAATGGTAAAGGGAAAACATGGATTGCACGGGCCGAAAAGTAGATTATTTTTTTATAAGAGTAATGAATGAGGCGAGACCAAAATGGTTTCGGCTCAAGAATGCTTCCTCGATGAAATGGGAAGACAAATTTGAGATTACGAAGCACTTAAGGGGAGTTGTGTCTGGGCTCACTGATTCGAAGTGGGTATCACCACAACAAAGGCGGCGGTTGTACTAGACAAACATCTCCCTTCCGGAGCAAATGCCTCACATTGAGTCGCATCCAAAAACTTGCCTACAATTTGTTATCAACAAAGCCAAGGCATAAAATGAGAAAACCAATTGTGTTATGGCAACAAATTGTCACCCTGGGAATAAAGCAAGCATACCAGTAGTTAAGTGCATGAAGCAAGGAGAGCCTCGTCTGCTTCATGTTACTGAAGGCGAAAAAATTATGGGCTGCTCTGCTGAGTATACAGAGTTGACTGAGGAAGAAGTTCGCGTCTCGATTGAGGGAAAGATAAAGAGGCAGAGCTATGAAAGCTCAACGCGCAAACCGTCAAGAATGTGGGGCCTCTTCCTCGCATCGACGATCTTCTTGAGCGACTGGGCGGCGCGAAGTATTTTTCCAAGTTGGATTTGAAATTGGGATATCATCAAATCTCGATCCAGCCGAACGATCGCTACAAGACCGCATTCAAGACGCGGTACGGGCATTTTGAGTCGGTGGTCATGCCTTTTGGCCTCACCAACGCCCCGGCGACCTTTCAGGCGGCCATGACCAATGAGTTCCGTGCAATGTTGGACCGGTTTGTGCTGGTCTACTTAGACGATATTCTCGTCTATAGCCGGTCATTGGAGGATCATCTGGGGCATCTTCGATGAGTGTTGGAGACGCTCCGCCGCGCCAAGTACAAGGCCAACCGCGACAAGTGTGAATTTGTCCGGCAAGAGCTGGAATACTTGGGCCATTTTGTCACACCAGAGGGCATCAGTCCGCTATCGGACAAGATTCAGGCCGTCCAGGAGTGGCCGGAGCCTCGGAACGTCACGGATGTCCGCTCGTTCCTCGGTCTTACCGGCTACTATCAGTGCTTCATCAAAGGCTACTCCAAGATCGCGGCCCACTTGAACAAGCTTTAGTGCGAGGATCGGCCGTTTGACTTCGGAGAGGAGGCGCGAGGATCGTTCTTCGCTCTCAAAGTCGCGCTATTGTCTGCGGAGGTCTTGCGGATATACGACCCGCTCGCGCCTACGCGCGTCACTACGGATGCGTCAGGCTATGGCATTGGTGCAGTCCTCGAGCAACATGATGGCGTGGACTGGCACCCAGTCGAGTATTTCAGCAAGAAAGTGCCCATCGTGCATTCCATTGACGATGCACGCAAGAAGGTGCTCCTCGCCTTCGTCCACGCACTCAAGCGCTGGCGGCACTTCCTCCTTGGTCGAAGCCAATTTCGATGGGTAACGGACAACAATCCGTTGGTCTTCTATAAGACCCAAAACACCGTCAACAGCACCATCGGTCGATGGATGGCTTTCATCGACCAGTTCGACTTCTTTCCCGACCACATTCCCGGGAAGTCGAACCGTTTTGCGGATGCTCTTTCACAGCATCCGGATCATTGTACCGCAGTCTACTCAACCTTCGAGATCGACGATGACCTGCGGAACAGCTTCATCCGCGGCTACCAAGCCGACCCCGAGTTTCGCGACAAATACGCGAATTGCTCCTCTCCTAATCCGACGCCTTCTCACTACCGGATCCAAGAGGGGTACTTGCTTGTCCACACGCGGGGGAAGGACCTCCTTTGCGTACCGAGTGATCCTCATTTGCGTACACGGCTTCTTGGCGAGTTCCACGACGCTCCCGCCACCGGACATTTTGGAGTCAATCGCACGATTGGCCGACTCCGCGAGCGATTTTGGTGGCCCGGCCTTCTCGGCAACGTCACACGCTATTGCGAGTCATGCGAGGTTTGCCGACGCTGCAAATCCCGCAATCATCGTCCGTACGGCGAGTTACGACCACTACCAGTCCCGTTGAGGCGAAGGGAAGCGATTGCCATAGACATTACCGGCCCGTTCCCCAAGCACAAGACCGAAGTGGATGGGATTCTCACGGTGGTCGATCGACTCACCAAGTTCGCCATGTTCTTGCCTTGTCGCTATCATGCCAAGGCACCGCAGTTGGCCGAGGTTCTTTACGCCCGTTGGATTCGAACCAAGGGTTACCCAAGGAAATCGTCTGCGACCGCGACACTCGGTTCATGTCCGATTTTTGGTTGGCACTCATCAAGCGATGGGGCTCATCGCTCAAGCCCAGTTCAGCTCGCCACCCTCAGACCGATGGCCAGACGGAGAGGGCGCATCAGACCTCATAGGTTCTCCTTCGCACTCTCATCCGCCCCGACCAGAAGGACTGGGTTGAGCGGCTGCCGGATGTCGAGTTGGCCTACAACTCATCTATCCACCCGTCTATCGGGATGTCGCCCTTTGAGTTTGAGCACGACTCGCCGGTCACTTCACCGTTGGACACTATTACTCCACGAACGGCCGAGAGCGACGACCATCTTCTTTTTTTGCGTCGGATGCAAGAGCTTCTTGTCAAGGCACGCGATCAGATGGCTAAGACGCAGCAGCGCATGAGCCAACAGGCCAATCGCCAGCGTCTTCCTTGCCCATTCCGCGCAGGCGACCTTGTTTGGGTTTCCRCAGCGGAATTCAGCCTTGAACAAGACATCTCTCGCAAGCTCCTCCCGAAATGGATGGGGCCTTGGCCGATCGTAGCGCTCGCTGGGGACGCACCCGAAGGACCTTCCTTCACGATTCAGCTGCCTGCCCACTTGACGGTCTACCCAGTCTTTCATTTGTCCAAGTTGGCTCTTTACACGCCAGCGGAACATGACGATTTTCCCGGGAGACGTACGCAAGACCCATCTTCTATGGACGGTTTTCAGGAGGTCGGCGACATCATCTCCCAGCGATGCTACGACAACAAGCCAACTGAGTATTTGGTGCACTTCGCATACTGCACACACCGAGCTGACCATTGGTTAACCCGTGCGGAACTTCAAGCAACAGCTCCAGACGTTCTCGCACGCTATGAACGCAAGATGCAAGGCAAGCCGGTTTCTTCGGTTCGATGCCGCGCCCTCGTCCAGGTTCCACCTTGAGATCGTCGGCTTCGCCCTCGCCCCGGCTGGACTTCATAAGGAGGGGGGGGTGTTACATGCTGCGCCTGCACACGCAGGCCATTTTCCAGGCCCTGCGCCCTTCAGCCAAAAAGCCTAGAATTCAGCATGAAAACAGGGGCCTAGAGTCCCTGTGTCGTTTCAAACTAAAAATGGCAAAAGCCTTTTTAGCCTGAAACGAAGGGCTATTTTCGGTCGTTCACCAGAACGACCGGCCCTGAAACTCAGGCACCAAACCAGGGTTTCGGAAACAGGCTATTCTTAGCCTGTATCCACGCCAGCCTCAGCAGATGCTGTAGCGTAAAAGGGCCTTTACCCGATATAGGCCTCAGGCCTTGTAAAAATAGAGCAGCACGGGCCTTGTAAAAGTAAAGCATTGTGAAAAGATATCTTGCCAGGGCTTAGAAACGTGAAAACAGGTCAAAAGTCAAGTTCTCTATCAACAGGCACATCTAAATCTAAGGCAAAGGGCATTGTCAAAAGACTTACCTGTTCACCAGGAGATGTGTATGTCATGTCTGTTCGAGTAAGGGTGTGTCTGTACGTGTAGGCAGTGTACCTGTTC